GAAGCACTCAAACAAAGTCCTGGAAATCACAAGGAAGCCAAAGTAAAAAAAGAAACCCGTGACATTAAAATAAAACGTGACCGGAGCACACAGAAACTCACAGCTCACAATTACCCAACGAAGACTGACAGAACTCAATGTGCAATGTGTGCCGTGTGAACACCCCTAGAGACTGAGAGAACTCTGTGAACTAAATCCAAGCAAAGTGACGAGACAACGAGAAACACCTGGACAAGACATGAAGGGTTGAGGGAGCTGATTGGTTAACACAAGGGACACTGATAACAAGAACAGGTGGCGAGAAAAAAGGGCACATGAGGGAACAAAACCAAATGGAACCAGACAGAAACATAACAACCTTTACATTTTATGGTTTCGATGTACAGCAACCAATGTTTGCTTTGGAGTAAAAGTGGCACATTTATATGAATTTAAATTTCTTTGGAGGAAAATGTAATTCTGACATGTTCAAGTGCTTTCAATTTGCAAAAGCATTTGTTTATGCGTACTGCTCTGCCTGTATAGACGTTCGTCTGCCCCGGAACATGAATGCTTTCACCCCCTTGTATGTGGTTCACTGCGCCAACGTTCTGTCCTCTCCATCGCTTTCTCAAAGCCATGTCTTTCTGTCAGTCCTCACACCGCCATATATATCTCATCTCATCTCATCTCGCATCTCTGCTTGTAGTCTTACCATGTGAATAATTGATGCACCATCTTGGACTCGTCTGGTGTAGTTAAAAGGCAAATGAAGTCCCGGGGACAACGTCAATACAGAGCTAAAAGTGAAACTGCGGCTGTTGCTTGCCTGGCTGACTTTCACAGGAGTCACTCTTTACTAATGACCCACTTTAGAAGCATCTTTCTTTTGTCATTTGCAAAACTTCAGGCTTTTGCAGTCAACTTGAATCTCATGTAACAGCTGCTCGAGCTAGATTCTTGCGTCACATGCCGCCTGCCACAAGCTGCTGTTGTGATGTCAGGAAGCAGCATTTAGCGGGGCTCTATTTAGAAACCAGAACAATTGCTCTTTAAGGTTGCAAGAAATGCGATTTTGCATCATCCTTTCATTCAGAATTCTCTTTCAACTCCATCTTTCCGAGCGTTTCAGCCAAATGATGTTTAATTAATGTTTTGCACGGTAAAAACATTTTCTGCATTTTTAATAAAATCCTGTAAGCGTAGGCCATTGTTTTGAGTGCACGGTCACACTCACTGTGTGACATCGATTGAATTTCAATAGTTTTATTCTTATTCTTAATTTGGGTCACCACAGATAACCATTTGAATGATTTCCATCCGTGGCAGAAAATGAGTTATGGCATTCAGGGCTCGGGGAGGAGTGCGGGGAAGGGAGGGCAGCACCTGTGGAAACACATGAATGTCTCCAGGCCTTATTGACTAGCCTGACGAAATTCTTGAAAATCCATCCTCTCTTCCTGAAGTTGTTACGAAAGGTGAGAAAGGTAAAAAAAACCCAGGATGACCCAGATACTTGCTTCGGTGGGTGGATGTCAGAATTACATTCATGCACTTCTGCTTCTATTGATTCACTGTCTGCTGGATGTGAAGGCAGGTAAACACAAACAGCAATAATGCAAAGAAGGAGAGGTCTGATCAACACTATGAAGAAATCTTCACACTTTGTCGTTGACACATTATACTCGCTCTGTTGCTTCCGTTGGGATTTTTATAAGCTTGTTCTCGTTAGAATGTGTTTGAATTGTGTACAAAGAATACATATTGAGCGTAAACCTTTTCTAGGTTATCGGAACATACTCCAATTGTACTTGCGGTATTTATTTTTAAATAATTAAAAAGCAACAGCATGCATATTTATATTTTATATTTTGTTTGCATGTTCTCACCATGCTTGTGCGGGTCTTCTCCAAGGAACCGCGGCAACACGCATGTAAGCTTCAGTGAACAGTCGGAACTGCCCGTAGTGTGGACATGAGTGGGAATTGTATGTGATTTGTACCCTGTGATTGGCTGACAACTAGTCCAAGGTGTATCTCACCACTTGCCCAAAGTCAGCCGGGATAGGCACCAGCTCACCAGTGACACCAGCACAAGCACGATTTAAAAAAAAAAAAAAAATCAAGTCATCTGCCCATACATTTTGCAAAAGCTGAATGGTGGACATGTTTGTCAGCAGGGCTCCAAATTGTGGTGTGTGTGTGTGTGCGTGCGTGCGTGCGTGCGTGCGTGTGTGTGTGTTCGGGCGAGGGGGGGGGGGGGGTTAAACTCTCCCAAAATCTTATCATATCCTTGTGAAAACAAGCGGCACTGTTCTGAGTTTCTTCCATATTCCAGTGAGTTCTGCATTAGAGGAAAAAGTATATTTCGTTGTTTTTGACACGAGTGTCAAAGCACCCGAGGATAAAATCATTATTTCGTCTTCGCTAAGACCTTCGAGAGCTTCAATAATAGGGTCTTTATGACAACGGAATACACTAAACAATTGTGGTTTTACTGGAATATGAGCAAGCTGGAAGATCGGCTCTGGTCAGATGTTTGCTTCTTGCAGAAAATCTTGGTTGTTTGTTCTTGGTGAATATGTGACGCAATGCAATATATCTTCTTTTCGTGCAGCAAATTTATTCCACCGTGCCCTGGCAAATATGTGAATGATGAAATGTCTTTTTTTTTTTCAAACAATTTGATGGTCAAGAATACAATATGAATGCCTCAGTTGCCCTTCACCTATTCTAAATGTAATTTCATGCCTATGAGAGGATTTTGGATCAATATGCTCGACTGCCTTCCTCTCCAACCATATTAAAATCAGAAACTGAGGGAATATGATTTTGAAGGATTTTATTTTATTTTTTTCCAGTTGAGTTTCTTGTAGGAACTGTCAAAGAGCAGCATCATCCATGTGTTTTCTTTTTTTTGTCACTTATAAATCCCCAGTGTGGCTGTTTTGAACAGTGGTTCAATTCACCTCTCGACCATGTCCAAATGACAGTGCGATGTAAATCAGTGGCCTCGGGCTCAGCTGGTTACTTTGGTAACCAGAACATTCAGCTGGCAAACTTTTCCTCTGGGTCAAAACTGTCATATAAAACAATTAATATTCATCCGTTGTTGAAGGTCAGTTTTAAAACACATCGACTGCTTAGCATATATGTCATCTTTATTGTCCAAATATGTAAAACATACAAGGAATTTGTCATCGGTAGTATAGGCTACCTTACCCTATATTGCAATAACAAGCAACTACGACAAACAAAGACACGACATATAAGTATAGAAAGACTTTCCGGAATGTCAGGGTACCATTGTGCAGTAGTACTACCCACTGACAGCTGTTCGAGTATGTGCAGAGTCATCAAGCAGAGGTAAAGTGGTGCCGTACTTACAATACTATGATGGTTGTGCAGTTGGTGCAGATAATCGTTGCACCACTGACTAGTAGCATTGATTGTAGTTCAACTTTAGGTGTGCCATTATGCAGAAAGTCCTTGAGCGCTTTGAAGTGTCTGGTGCTGTGGAATATTGATCAAGGATCATGTACGTAGAGAGCTGGAGCAACAATGATCAGTGCGGTAATGCTGGTCCACAAAAATGCAGAGCCACGATAGATTTGAGTCACTGTTTAGGGAAGAAGCTGTTTGAATGTCTGCTGGATTTGGTGTGCATAGTTCAATAGCTCTTACCTGAGGGGGTAGCTGGAAGAGGTGGTGGGCAGGGTGTGCGGGGTCCATTAGGATTTTCCTTGCCCTTGTCTTGGTTCTTGCGGAATGCAAGTCCTTGAGAGTTGGTAGGGTGGTGTCAATGTTTTTTTTTTTTTTTTCCGCAGCCCTAACTGTCCATTGCAGTCGCTTTTGTTTTTTTTGTTTTTTTTTGTGGCGGCACCAAACCAGACTTTGTGTGTGCGTGTGTGCGTGTGCGTGTGTGTGTGTGTGTGTGGCTGTATAACCCTATAACAATCTAACCCTCTAACCCTACAACCTGCGCAATATTGTGCATGGCCTGAATAAATACAATGTATCTTTCTTTTTTGGCATAAGTTTCCAATGGGAAAAATAGTGATAAATAGTTCACCATATCTTACACTCCTTCCTGTGGGAAGGTATCATAAGCTTTGTGAAAAGCAATCATTAATTCACCAACAAACTTACCAATTTTAAAAACAGCCACATTAGTTTCACATTCTTTTACAATAGATTTGAATTCTCCCAGAGTGATACGTTCTGGCAAGTTCAGATCCTTTTGTGAATTATTCCATGAAAAAGGATCAGCATATTTCCTTGCGACTAGAAAAACTGTTTGCAACCACTAAAAACTGTTGACAAACAACCGTTTGCAACGTTGACCAAACCCTGGAAAAAAAAAAAAAAATCAACATTCACTACGTTCACAAACACTCGTAAACCTTTGCCGCTCTGTGCGATACCGACTTAAGTTCTTACAGTAAATAGGATTTTTAAAAAAATCTTTTGACCCGCTGAGATATATAAAACAAAAGAAAATGTATTTTCTACATTTAAATCCTTTGACTTGAAGTTGCATGAAGCCCCACACTTGCCAGTTGTAACATTTAATCGGGATGATGTCCTCCTTTACATAGCCAGGTTGGAAAATGTTGAGTTCACATGATGTTTGAAATTGATTTTAAAATCAATGTTTTGAAAATTTCTGGTAGAATGTAGTTGATGCCCATTTTAATTGTATTGTTTCATCCCTCAAGCTATGTACTGTATTCAGTGAGGCATTTTTTAAAATTTTATCTTTAAAAAATTTTTTGTGAACGAATCACTTAAAATCAACCACTTCTAAAGTAAAATACATTATCTAAACTTTCAAGCAGTCAGGGCAGCCTTGGATGATGACAATATCATGAATGGTTTTATTTGAGTAGCTGCAAATGTCTTGTTGATTTCACCTTGCCTCGTCTATGTTTGCAGGTGGTCAAATGAATCTCTTGAATTGCACTGCCGCGTAAACTCACAGCCAAGATGTGGAATTTTTATTTTCCCTCTTGTTTCTCTCAGATCGACCACTACGCCCAGAGGGATTTGAAGAAGGGCCTCCAGCTTTTTGGCACAGAGGGCAACGTGGGTCTGACTAACGCCTGGATGATAGTTCAAACTGATGTAAGACACGATGACCAGTAGTTGGATCCTACAGAAATAGATTCATCATGTTACCCAATACGTTCTTCACATGTCTTGCTTTTTATCAGTCATTTGCAGGTCTTGGTCTGTAATCATTTTTGAAGTTAACAGAATGTGTCACTTTACAGTCCATGTCGATTTTACTTACCAACGTTCAAAAGAAAAAAATCTATCAGCAAAGAAAAACAGCTCATATATCTCTGCCACACTCCGAGTTTCCCCAACTTTAAAAGGCTGTGGTGAAAAAGCTGACAGATAAATGGATCATCCTCTCGGAGAGGTAATCTTTGTTGCCAGCTTTCACTTTGATGTGCTTTACCCGAATATTTGTTTTCAATTTCAACGGAAAAAGGAGAAGCAATTTGTGATTTTTGAATAATGTGGTGAGGATGCGTGGAGCTGATAGTGCGGCTAGTGAATGTCTTCAGGAGGCATTAAATGACATATCGGAGCCTCCTGTGCTCTTTGGGTTTATTTTCACATGCACGAGCGAGCGTTCCAGCGAGCAGTTTTGTTCCATTAGGACATGATGACAGGTCAGGCCTGTTTATGTGTCTGCGTTAAGCCACACAGCAGTCACGTGTTTGCGTATGATCAAAAGCCTCCACGCTGACAACGGTAAATAAAATATGCAATAATGTGTGTCAGCCTGCGTGGGCGTTAATGTGCACTTTTAGCTGCATGCAGGGTGATGGCGTGGGACTGGTCCGTCTTAAGCGGAGCAGTTTGACACCGTTCGTGTTCAAGCATGATCGCACTTCACTGTTGTCCCATAAGTGTATGTTTGTTGTTATGTGTGTGTGCATAAGTAAGAAGCTCCATAAAAACTGAGTCTAGTTGAGCTAAAGCCCATTAAAAAAAATAGCTCGTGTTTTCCCACAGCTCTCTCCACCAAGCCTCCTTCACACATGCTGAGTCACTGAATAGATAATAAGGAAGATGTCCCTGGAGCAGAGTTCATCCCGAATAGTATTAACTCACTGAATACTGAAGCATCTCCTTCCACAAAATGAGAAACAATAGACTGGATATGTGGAAAGATGAAAGGTGTCAAAATTCATCAATTAATCGGTCATCAAAATTATTCAACATATATTTTGAGACTCAACTAATCATTTAGAGAGAATATTAGAGTAAATATTCTCCTATTTTTGTAGTCCTTCATGAAAGCAGAATGATGATCTTTTGCTTCTGCTTTGGATAGCAATCTGTCACGTTTTACATGGTGGTAGTTGTAGGACCCCAAAAAGCAGGCAAGAGGCAAGGAGGAGCAGGGTGGAACTGACCAAGATGTATTTAACAAATATGCAAACAGGAGTACACTGGAGAAGCACGAACTCGAAGTACTCAAAGTCCTGGACATCACAAGGAAGCCAAATTAACAAAAGAAACCCGTGACATAAAACAAAACGTGCCGTGACAGGAGTGGAGCACACAAATACTCAAATATCGCACACTACTCACAACTCACAATGACCCAACTAAAGGGGTGTTCACACGGCAACTTTTACTCCGGTGTAGCACCGGGGCTGCCCCCCGTAGAGCGTTCACACATACAAAGTCATACCTGTGTAGCCCCTGAAAACAGCTGAAACCGGAGCAAATGTAACACTGCTCAGGAGGTGGTTTAAAAATTTATTCCGGAGTAAATGCTAGTTTGCGAGGCAGCACCGATATAAAATGGGACGTGTGAATGCTACAGGAGTAGACTCGCTACACGTGAGAAGAGTTGATTACATACGGGTATTGAATGCGTTGCTTTCGTACTCTGTTGTACGGTTGTTACGGTGTCTGATAGACCACAGCGTTGATTTGTCTGGAGAAGTATAAACCATGGTTTTTCGATATGTCACAAACAAGGTAGGGAAAAGGAAGGGAAGTACCCTATACGCATGCCCTGCTCAATGTCGTATCGCACGGCCGCACAAACCGCCGTGTGAACGCAAGTGGGGCTGCGCTGGGGTTAACACGCTTCTCTTTATTTAGTCAGCGGCTTTGTACGTGTGAACGCTCCACAAAATTTGCTCCGGTGTAAGATATATCGCAACAAAATACATCGGTGCAGCACCGGTGCAATGTGTGCCGTGTGAACACCCCTACAGACTGACAGAACTCTGGGAACTAAATACAAGCAAAGTGACGAGACAACGAGAAACACCTGGACAAGACACGAAGGGTTGAGGGAGCTGATTGGTTAAACACAAGGGACACTGATGACGAGGACAGGTGGCGACAAAAAGGGAACATGAGGAAGCAAAACCAAACGTGACCTAAATGGAAAAATAACACAATCATCAACATTTTACCTCATTTAAGGACAAAATCAGTAACTGAATCATAATTTTCAAAAATAACACTGGTCAACAGCAAATTTGTATCAGAGCAGGCTTTAGGTGTCCCAATTGATTTAAAAATTGTCTAATTTTTTTCGAGCACTTTGGGTTTTTGAAATATTTTCATTTTTGTTTTTAAATTTGACAGTGCACAATATGGATTTCACCATGTATTGTAATTGATAGCTATGATGTTGTTGGGAGAGAAAAAAAAATCACCTGTTGCCGAACCTAGCAATTATTCAGAAATATTACTAAATATGTTACTGTATATTGCATATTATATCCAGAATCAGCCCCACCCCCCCAAAAAAAATCAGCTAGAAAATTTTGCTTACTTCCTGATGACAAAATTTTGTCAAAAGATTGTTGACTGGTGTAATTGTTATATGCCATATCAATAACCTGTAATTGACATTTAATTGAATCTGAGTAACCTCAGAAATGTGAATCCAACTTGTTGCCCTTTGCATTGATCACTACCCAAGAAGTAGCTCTCTGTTTCAAAATCGGTGAGTGCAACATCACTCCCTCTTGTGTGATAACTATTGTTTATTTGGGTTTGTTTCATCATTAAACAGTACCAATTAACAATCAGTTAATAACCAATAAACAGGAGAAAAAAATTGCATAATCACACCGGATTCTTTGATGAATCAAGTTAATAATCGATAGACTAATCTAATGTAAAAATGTGATAGAAACAGCCCTTGTAAAGACTCAGTCATCCATCCATCCATTATTTAGTCGGACTGTGTGTGATATTGTTTTAATTTCCTTTTTTTCTTGATGAAAATCCATTCTTCAGTCATTGTTTTATGGGTGAGCCAGAGACACTGCAATTCGTTAGCTGGATTACAGTCCGCAGAGAGCGCAACATGTAGGGCACTTATCTGATTCTTTTCATGAAATGCACAGATTTGTGTATTATGGCAAATGTGAGACCTTGTCAGATCATGTAGCAGCACAAAGGAAGAAGACAAAGAGGTGATGAATTAAGTGGGTTTAGAAATGATCTTCGAAGCAAAAGAGATGTGCGCGAAAGAAAAGTGGCTCATTTGAACTCGATGTGTGTGTGTGTGTGTGTGTGTGTGTGTGTGTGTGTGTGTGTGTGTGTGTGTGTGTGTGTGTGTGTGTGTGGGGCGGGGGGCGGGGGGGTTACGGATCTTATTCAGAGCCACTCAATGAGTTGCGCTCTCACTGTGATCGTGACATGAAACTGACAAACACTCTCTTGTCTGCAGTTCCGCTGCTGCGGAGTGACCAACCACACGGACTGGTTTGAAGTCTACAATGCTTCTCGTGTGCCGGACTCCTGCTGCCTGGAGTATAGCGACAACTGCGGCCTGGACAACCCGGGAACATGGTGGACAGCGGTAAGCACTGGCATGACAATGCAACCGGAGGGTTTCTTCTCAGTCTTTTCATCCCAGCTTTGATCCCCAAACAATAAAAACATCTCAGAGTAGAGCTCTGTTACTCCAGATAGCAATGTAGGAACTGGATTTCATTTCGGGTTCACAAAACCCAAGAGTGGAAAACGCAAGCAAGGTTTAAATATGCAAATGTGAAAGTTAAGATGCAGGCCTTTCAGCAGTTCTGCCCCCCCCCCCCCCACCACCACATTAGTGTGGATTCAATTTTATCCGAATTGCAGAAAAGTTAGTCAACGGCTTACAAGTTGGGCTGCGAATACGCTCACCGAATTTTGCTACTGGCAGTGTGGGTTCAGCTCCCACTCAGTGATGGTGTGAATGGTTGAATGGTCTCCACATGTTCGCTGCGATTGACTGGCAACCAATCCACGGAGTAGTCTGCCTTTATCCCAAAGTAAGACGGTTGGATCATTGTGTCACAGATTTTTTTTCAAACGGTCCCACACAAGGTCAGCAGGAGATACTTTTTTAAGAATCCAGGGAGATTGAACCGTCCGCTGTTTCATCCTTATGGAGAATTCAAGAGAGAGAGAGAGAGAGAGAGAGAGAGAGAGAGAGAGAGAGAGAGAGAGAGAGTTTTTAGGGGGATTACAGCATCTGAAATTCTGATGTGGCAGCAGCATGGATCCAGTAGTTCGCTATCTGTCATTTTTGCCAAAATCATGATGATCATGAATGGAAATGCATTGATTCTGTCCTCTTTTTTTTTTTTTTTTTTTTTTTTTTTATTGTTTAATTGCATGATTTGAACTTATGATAGATTACGCTGCATAGGTTGTTGATGTAGTCTAAATGGAAAATCCATACTTGACCCTTTTAGAGTGTTGTAGAAGATTTAATGCTGCTGTGTGCTTCTAGTTAATGGCTACAGCACCTTGAAATACAATTAGTACCTCCAGTCTATGTTGCATGATGCAGCAGGTTTTTACTCAAGGATTAAAGCTGCAGAAAGCTATGTAAGAACAGCTCGCATCAAATATTCATTCAGAACAAACACCACATCCCTGCGACCTGTTCTTCACCCCTGCACTCTATTGCACTGCATTTGTAAAATTGCCCGGTTGTTTGCACTTCCTATTAACTTGTCACTTAGTGGCATTAGCGCCATTCTTTCAGTCATGAGCTAAGTGGGAAACCCAGTGGCCTTTCTCCGTCTTTGTAAACAGGAATGGAAAAAAATTCATCCTGAACAACCATGGCCCCATCTTCAATATGTCCTTTGCCTTCCCTAGTTGTTTTTTTTTAACATCACACCTCCATTTTGGTGAATTGTAGTGTAATTTTAGCATCCCAAATTTACCACCTGGAATACTGTGTTCTCTTATGGACAGATTTCTAAAATAATGTTCTATTCTTGTAAGATTCCAGCAAGCCTTGTCCTCATTGGCTTCAACAACAAAATAGACATTGCACAGTGCCCAAATGGTCCATTTTCACCATGTTAAGATGATTGACTGCATATTTTTATGGGTACCACCATTAGGCTATCACATGTTGCTAAGATGCTAAAAATGTAGGTACCGGTAAACAAACAAGAGGAAGCCATGAGTTCATATGAAATTTGTAATGAATATAATAATCAAAGTAGTGAATGAACTAATGGAAAAATGTGATTAATTTGTCCTCCAAATAAATATAGTGACACTGTGATAAAACTTATTCATGCTATGGCTGAAAATGTGAAATATTCATATTTCAGACGCATAAAGCCAAGTCACTCTCCATCTTTACCGCTCTATGTAGGAAAGTTGCTAACAACGATGCTGCTCGAATACAGTTGTATTATTTTATGACTGTGAAGGTTGCATCTTAGAATTCGAATGCACTACAATCATTGATACATCAAGGTGGGAATGGAATGGGAACAGAAATGATTAAAGAAATGCTAAATAGCACAAAATTGCAGACACTAATAGCAGTAGCGCGAAGCACCTGTCCTAATGGCTAATGTTTATCATCTGGTAATCACCACAATGACAATGACTACTCGACCACAAAACGATTCTTCTTTACCTTTTGGCGTGTCCCGTTAGGTTCGCCAAAGCATGTCATCCTTCTCCAGCGAAGCCGATCTACTATGTCCTCCTCTCTTACACCAACAACCTTTGTGTCTTCCCTCACTACATCTATCAACCTTCTCTTAGGTCTTCCATTAGATTCCTTGCCTGGCAGCTCTACCCTCATCATCTGTCTGCCAATATACTCACTCTCTTATCCGACATGTGTCCAAAGCATCGAAGTCTGCTCTCACTAACTTGACTCTAACCTTGGCTGTCGCTCATTCATAAAACATTCCAGCCTAAACATAACCTCCACATCTTCAGCTCCTCCACCTCCAGTTCTGCTTCCTGTCATAATTTAAGTGCCACTGTTTGTAATGAGTACAAAATGGCCAGCGTCACAGACCTTCCCCTTCATCCGAGCAGAGACTATTCTATCACATAACACTCCTAACGCTTTCTTCCAACCTGCTTGGGTCTGTTTCTTCACGTCCTTTACTCCACTCAACGTTGCTCTGGAGTGTTGACCCCAAGTACTTAAATTCTCCACCTTTGCTATCTTTTCTCCCTATAGTTCCACTCTTCCTCCTCTGGTGCATGCCTCCACCTCTCTCAATGTACCCCCTCCTGTTCCCTGCTTTTTTGATATGGATCTAAATGTCATCTGTAAACATCATGGTACACAGTGATTCCAGCCTGAACTCATCTGCCAACCATCACTATTGGAAAGAGAAAGGAGCTGAGAGCGGACCCCTGATGCACTTCCACCTCCACCTTAAATTCTTCTGTCACATCCAAAGCACACCTCACCACTGTTCGGCTACCCTTATACATGTCCTGTACTATTCGAAGTCTCTGCCACTTCAGATTTACTCATGCAACAGCACAGTTCTTGTCTGGTACCCTGTCATATGCTTTTTCGAAATCGACAAAGACGCAATGCAGCTCCCTCTGACCTTCGGTGTACTTCTCTTTTAACAGCCCCAAGGCAAATTATGTATCTGCTGTACTTATCCTGAAACCGTACGGATTCTTTCCCACAACTTAATTCTGTGGTTCATCAACTTGATTCCTCTATAATGTTATACTCTTTTACTAGTTCTATACTTTTAGAACAACTCTGCACATTAACCTTGTACTTAAAAATGGGCAATCCTCCTTTGCTCAGGCATCTTTCACCTATGAGAATTCTATGAACAACCTGGTCAGAGCCACCTCTCCTTGATATTTCCATACCTCCACAGGCATGTCATCAGCACCAACTGCCTTTCTATTTTTCATCTTCTTTAGTGACTTTCTAACTTCCCCCTTACAGGTCAATGCTACTTCCTAGTCCAGCACAATTGCCTCTTCTATTCTTCCTTCTCTTTCATTTTACTCATACATCAACTCCCGACTCCTTAAAGTACCGGCACCAGTCAAGACATTTGCATCTTTATCCTTAATTAACCCTGACTTGCTGCACACCATTCCCGTCTCTACATTTCTGTCTGCAACCCTAGTGAGGATAAGAGGTTCAGAAAATGGATAGATGGAGGATGGATTGGCAACAAATATCTATCTTTCTCTCCTTTTTTTATTGTCAAACCTGGCATACATGGTGTCATATGCGACTTGTTTGGTATTTGCTGCCTCTATTTTCGCCTCAGGTCGCATCTCTTTTCATTCTCGTCTCCTCTCCTCATCCTCTCAGTACTCCACTTCTTTGCTAATTCTTCACACATATCAGTTGTGTCATTTGGCTTGGAGAAAATGTTACGTCTTGAGCTCGCAAATCAGCTCTGACTTCTCTAACATGATTTATCTATTCTCAGATACACCACTGAGGTCCACCCGGGTTCTGTTTGATGAATAACACTGGAGCAGGCTCACTGCATTACTTTCCATATTGATCCTGCTGAGAATGAATGTACCTTGTGCTGCGAGATATAAAGTATATATTTTTTGGTTCCTGTTGTTTCAGGCAACTGCAATATAAATTGTGTCTTTGGTTTATGTGGCTCTGATTCAGCTAATTCATATTTGGATGATATAAGATAAGATAAGAAAACCTTTATTTGTCTCACAATGGAGAAATTCCCAATTTACAGCAGCAAAATTATGAAAGGGAAAAGTAGAAGAACAAAAGTATATAAATAAATATAAATTATAAAATATAAATACAAGAAAAATGGGTGAGTGGGGTGAGTCCAGGTTTTCAGGTCTGTCTATTCAATAGCCTGAGAGCAGTCGGCAGGAACGAGTGGCGATACCTCTCCTTCTTGCAGTGTGGGAGTATCAGTCTCTGGCCGAAGGAGCTGCCCAATGCTGTCAGGGTGGCCTGGAGGGGGTGGGAGGGTCTGTCCATCATAGCTTTTAGATTGGCTGCCTGTTGCCCACCTCCTCCAGAGTGTCCAGGGAGCAGCCCGGAACAGAGCTGGCCCTCCTGACCAGTCGGTCCAGTCTCTCTCTGTCCCAGGCTGAGATGCTGCCTGACCAGCCGACTATGCCATAATGAATGGCTGAGGCCATCACAGTCTTAGAAGGTTTTAAGGAGTGACCCCTGAACTCCAAAAGACCTCAGTTTTCTGAGCAGGAAGAGTCGGCTCTATCCCTTCCTGATCAGAGTGTCCGTGTTGTTAGACCAGTCTAGTTTATTGTTGAGAAGAACACCCAGATACTTATAGGAGGTCACCCTCTCTATGTCCGTACCCTGGATGTTAATCGGTGCAGGTGAAGACTGTTTCCTGCAGAAATCCACAACCAACTCCTTAGTTTTCCTGTGGTTGATCTGGAGGTGGTTCTGCAGGCACCAGTCCACGAAGTCCTCCGTCAGTCCCCTGTACTCCCGATCATTAGTACTGTACTCATTAGGTCCGTAATGAGGCCGACGAGTTCCACAGCTTTGGAAAACGTCGTGCCTCGTCCCAGTGCCTAAGACCCCCCCACTGGAAGGAGCTCAACAGCTATAATATAGTATAAATAGTACAGTCACCTATCTGTGTCTGTAGAAATTAATTATTGAGCGAGAATGCCTGCGCTGTATGGTAGAAGCAGCTTCACCCGTTCTTCACTCAGTTCCAAAGTTAGTTCACTGATCAGAAGCCGACACAGAGCTCAATGTCTAAAAGTTGCCTGGGGCAAACATTTGCCACCCAGCCCTTCTCGCAAATCATTCCACCATCACTTGTAATCCTGCGTTCACCTTTTCTTTGACACCTCTCCTCCTTTGTGTCACGCCCGTCCATCTCTGACCAAGAGGACACTGCTGCAGTCTTCCTCGATGATATCATTTTACCTCAAACAGAACTTCAAAAAGGATTTTCAAATACAACGCAGATGGTGAAAATGTTCGAAAAAAAAAAAAAAGAATCAGAATCAGAATCATCTTTATTGGCCAAGTATGTAGAAAACAAAAGGAATTTGTCTCCGCTATCACGGGCTGCGCTCGTATTATCCGTAACACGACTAAGTATCGAAAGGCATTCCGTAATGTAAGGGTGCCGTCGTGCAGTAGTACCACCCACTGACAGATAGCGGGACAATGTGCAAAATATCAAGCAGAGCTAAAGTGATCAGTGGTAGAATATAATACTGTGACAGTTGTGCAGTTAGTGCAGATAATCGTAGCTCAGGTTGTTTGGACCGGTGAAATAAAGGTCAACTTGTAGAGCACAGCAAGAAGATAAATGTTTCAGGAAGGAAAGGAACAAAATTGTTAGATGGATAATTGCCTTAAACACACTGCGATTCAGTGGCCAAGTCTGTCACCTTTAGAACTTGCTTTTTCACTCGCTGATGACTAAAGCAAAAGTGAAAACGGCGAGACCCACAAAGAAGCAGCAAATAAAGGTGGCAGCAATGGCAAAGCATCTCCGGGAATGCAAGTCACATTTCAGTCATGCATGCAGTACGTTGAACCGACTACATAAAGTATAGTTGACCCATATCGGAAGTAAAATTGGCAGCAAAAGGTTGCACCTTTGACTTTTCTCTAGGAAGACTTTCTGCAATATTTGAGGGTCTCTGTGGGAATATTTCATATCATCATTCATCCAGAAGAGCATTTATGATGTCAGTGGTCATTGACGTTGGACCTTGAAGAGGGTCTGGCTCACAATCTAGTTTTGACTTCATCCCAAATGTGTCGGTGCATCAAACTTTTGCAACTCTGCACTTTATGGCCCTTGCTTTATGCACTGGGGCACGGTTAGGCTGGAAAATAATAAAATACCCTGCTCCAAAATATTGCCATTGAACTATAGAAAAATGTCTTGGGAAGACTAAAAATTAAGATTAGAAGAGAACTGCAACACTGATTCATGAAGTAACTGATATCCTTAGGCTGTCGTCGACATGTTCTCCCCTAACAGACTCACATGAAATGAATCTTTTTTTTGTGCGTGCGTGTGTGTGTGTCAACAGCCGTGCTACGAGCGGGTGAAGGACTGGCTTAATGAGAACCTGGTGGCCCTGTGGATCTTTGCTCTATGCACAGCCCTTACTCAGGTAATTAAAGGGACTCCCGTGATTTGTGTGTCTCTTTTTGATATTTCCACTTGCATGGAGACACTCATGACTTTTGGTTCGATAAACCGAACATTTATGGTGTCCTTTGAATTAAGCGCTGCCGCAGGATTTCTGTGAATAGCAAAAGCGCAGACTTCTTTGGTGCGTTCGCACTGAAGACCACATGAAGGGTGGGGGTGGGGGGTAGGGGGGAAGGGGGTTGACACTCCATAAAACTCTTTTATCTCCTTTGCAGCCGATTGCTACGTGACATGCCTACACAACAGGAAAAGTGAAACACTGTTCTTGAAGGCATAAGTCACGTGGTTCCTCTTCTGCGGCAGCTTCATGCTCATTTGTAGTCAGCCATTAGACTCTCAGCGGTGCTTTGAATCTTCGAATACAGCCAAATGAACCAGAAAGTAGATGTAATCAACGTAACAGTGTTTGAGCGTCTATGTAATTATGGCTCATGCAAAATGATGCATTACCTTTTTTTTCCCCAGAGTAACTATTTGGGAAATATGCGAACTTGGCCGCGGCTCAGTGAGCTTAAATGCAAATACAAATCTCTATTACGACTCTCTTAAAATGCAAAATATGCACGGAAAAGCACGTTTATTTTAGTGTTACATTAATGATGGCTAATATTTACAAAAATCTGTGTAATTTTAGTAAATCTCTGTATAATTGAACGCTGAGTCCCCACTACTGCTCAAGCATTTCTTTTTTTATTATTTGCAGTTCTCTTCGACTACAATCTTGATAAGGATTGATTGGACAGCTCATTGTTTTGTCTTGAGACATTTAAAATAAAATAAAAAATACATTTTTAAAAATGGCATATCGGAGAGGAAGAAACTACTGTATCTGCGCCTTTATCCAGATTCTTACCAACATGTTTTCTGTGTAATACGTCCAACTCTACCTGTTCTATTATTTATTGCTTTACTACATATGTCAAAAATAATTGCTTAAAAAAAAAGGGTCATTAAAACATCAGAGCTCGTGCCTGCCTCTGCACAATAATAACACATTTCATATCAAATTCTGATTTTTATGAGGGCCCCACTCATGAGTGTAAGTCAGCAACGAATGGCCCCAGCTGAGCAGGATCAGCAGTAGAAAAAAATTAAAAGAAAAAAAAACGAACAGAAACCAGAAGGAGTGGGTGAGCACTTGTCACTGAGCTAAGCAGTGGGAGAATCTCAGATCCTTGCAGTGTGTTGCTCAAGGACACGTTTACCATGTAAACATCGAGAGCGGGAGACGAAATGGCTGAACCTACAGTTTAACCGGCAACCTGCTGGACCTCGGAATCATAAATCCCGAGAAATGTCATTTATTACGACACGCTTGTGTACCCTTTACTTCCTCTTGTGTGAAATGACGGTGATGAACTTGTGTACTTGCATGGTGTCACTCTCTTTTAGATGTGTAGACCACACTAATAAAACCGCTGGTGCTTAGCACGAGCTCATCTCAATCCGACTGTTATGTAAAGGATGACGTATTTCACCCACAATTTTCTGTTGCTGGGATGCGAGCCATGACTCACTGGACACAGCATTTGATACACAAATTCAGTTTTTTTGAAGGTGCAAAGGAGTTGCAGGCAAAATTACTTTGTTAAAACGCCAGTAAATTTGTTGAAATAATTTTTCAAGTTAGGCAACATGGTTTTTCTTTTAATTGTAGACATTTCGGGAATAAACAGCTTTGTTCAAAAAGTTCAGGGAGCTCAGAGTGTCATTATCATCATCTCTTATATCCATCCATCCATCCATTTTCCGATCCGCTTTATTATCACTAGGGTTGCGCAGGGTGCTGGAGTCGATCCCAGCTGTCTTCAGGCAGTAGGCGGGGGACACCCTGAACCGGTTGCCAGCCAATCGCAGGGCACCCATAGACGAACAACCACTCGTGCTCACAATCACACCGAGGGACAATTTGGAGCGTTCAGTCAACCTACCATGCATGGGTTTGGAATGTGGGAAGAAACCAGAGTATCCAGAGAAAACCCACGCAGGAATGGGGAGAAAATCCAAACATCACACAGGAAAGCCGGAGCCGGAATCAAAACCTGCACCTCTGCACTATGAGGCGGACGTGCTAACCAGTCACCCACCCTGTCACCCTAACCACCGCGTCACCCTCCACTCTTACAGCTAAATGAAAATTTAGATAAATAAATCAGTAAATCAATAGATACATGGGTGGCACGGTGGTGACTGGTTAGCATGTCCGCCTCACAGCACAGAGGTCCAGGGTTCGAATCTGGGCGCCAGCCTTGATGTGTGGAGTTCACATGTTCTCCCTGTGTCCGCATGCTTTTTTTTTTCCAGGCACTTCGGTTTCCTCCCACATCCCCAAAACATGCATGGCAAGTTAATGAAACACTCTCAATTGTCCCGAGGTGTAAGTGTGAGCACGGATGGTTGGTCGTCTATGTGTGCCCTGCGATTGGATGGCAACCAGTTCAGGGTGCGAGAGGCTCCAGCACGCCCGTGACCCTCGTGAGGATAAGATCATCAGATAATGGATGGATCTGTAAATCGATACATCAATAAAAAAAAGTTGTTGCAGTTACCCCATTTCAAACTAATTTCTTTTCGGCCTTCAGATAAAAAAAAAAAAAAAAAAAGATGCTGGTATTCAGTCTATTGACAAACAATGGTGCCATTAATCAATCAGGATGCTAATCCATCTATTCCTAATGATAGCGTTGATGATGGTGATGATAATGTAGATCTAACAGTTGAACTCACAATTGTACATTGTTACTAAAGACTGAATTTTTGATCCAGCTCTACAAATACTGGATTTAGATGACGTGGCAATTGAGCGTGTATGAATTGATTCATCCTAATTTAAAATGAATATGAATGTTGAATATTTGATGTTTTCCAGATCCTGGGCCTGGTGTTCTCCATGACGATGTTCTGTCAGGCAGTCAAAGTAGAAACCTTCTACGCTTAACGCTCAAACTGACGTCCGCGAGCACATCTACAACGTCCCTGCACTTAAGGTGGATGGATGCAATTTCCCTCCTCTCGTTCTTTCTGACCTTCCTCCTCCGGTGACATTTCGTCAGGGACGTTGTCACTTCGCATCTTAGCCGCTCACTTTCAAACAAGCACAGTCTCAGTGTAATGCGTTTCCTATGATTTGCTGTGTCAAATACTCATTTCTGTTATTTTACCTAGCCGTATAAACGGACGTGTGTTCAGCAGTGTTTTTAATGTATTTGTTTTAAATTATTTTGTTTTTATGTGTTTCCAAAAGGAGAGGCTCAGTGAGAAAAGTGCACTGTTGAAGTGCTGCAAGTGCATGTCCCCTGCGATGGTGTCTATTAAATGTTTTGATCTCTCGCACAGTCAGTGTGTCATTGCTCATCGCAAAACGCTTGAGGCTTTTGGTGCGTAATCCTGTTGTATTGGCGTCTGAAATCCTTGACGTGACAAAGACTAGTGCTGGTGTAAACAGAAAAATAGAACACAATGTAGTCCGTTTCGCACCCAAAATAACTCCTTGGCTGTACTGAATGAAACGCGGCGTTGTGAGGTGGATTTACATGAGGCGGAAAAATCAAAGCATCCCCAATGCAAACATTCTCACAGGTATTTGAATTCCGAAAGCAGGATGCATCCAAATGGCCCTGGGCTGTTTCCCCTCCAGCTCCAATAAGAGCTCCAATGACAAAGATTATTCTGGAAACTCTGAAGCCTCCTTCGGGTCTTTTGAGTTCCCGTAAATTCTTCCTCCTATCGTCGGCTGTCAACTGTAATCCATACTTTAAACACACATCAGACACACTGATGGAATATTTCCTAAAGCTTTGGGTTCAAACTCAGCTAGCAGTTAACTCCTGCAGTTTTTGCTGTTTTGGGAGATCCCTTGAGCAAAAATCACAGTCACAAGGCCCCTGTGTACCATTACGAAGCCTTCCCTTAATTGAATTATTCACATATGCTGCAAGCCGCATGTATTCAAAAAGCAATATGAAAGCATTCTTTTCCCGAAGGAGACAGGAGCAGGCGTTTGAAAGTGGTGTATTTCGCTGCACCTACCGGTGCTGCAACCTTCCGGAGGTCAGTTGTAAGAATCATACGAGAATACGTATCGTAAAATGAGTCATTCCACAGCATTGCCTGCTGCCTCCATCTTTTCAACCATCTTACATAAATGACAGGAGGCACAAACACAGCTCGTGTGATAACATATGTGGGCTTTTGTATTTTATTCTACAAGCAAGACAAATGTGACAGTAATGCAATCCACAGAGTATACACTACGCATAGCCTCCTCCATTTAGGACTATCAGTCCAATAAGATAGAGGAGGAGAGGCTTGTCTCGCAGATTTGAGAGTCCCCCCCACCAATCCTTTTAACTGCCTTTCATGCCATTTAAACGACACACAGCCCATATGTGATGATGCATTTTACGTCTGTGTAGCCAGCAGCCCATCTGGAGCACCACACGTAATTTATATTAACTACATGTTTCAAGACAAAATTTACAGTTGATTGTAGTGCAAATTTGACACCAAGTTGTCTTTAGTAGAGACAATGTGATTCTTGCAGTCAATGTAAGTCAAAGTCATTCCATTCATATCAGAGCAAACACCCAACATGGCTGAGAAAACATTGTTTGCCATTCCATGCACAGTCATGGCGTCATACATTTAAATCTATACTAAACACACACTCAGAACATTGCTCAACACATTCATTATACAAGTAGGAGCAAACCTAAATTAAAATTGCGAAGAATTGTGAGACGTTAGTGTCATCTTTTTAGATATGCAGCTGCTGTGAAAACATTGTATGAATAAAGATGAATTGTATTGTATGATTTGAATGAAGGCCAGACCTGTGATCCAGTGGTTAGCGCATCGACCTCACAGGTTCAATTCCAACACTGGCCTTCCTATGTGGAACTTGCATGTTCTCCCCCCCAACCCTTGTGAGGATAAAGTGATGCAGAAAATGGATGGATGGATTTGAATGAACGGGCCATCAATCAGTATGCAAAAATGGGTTGGCTGTTGGTGCCAACTGACCACTCTGATTGGCCGTTAGCTAGCAAATGCAAGTCTGTGCATGCGATAGAGCTACACTATGAGTACAAACAAATCAAGCCAGTGAAAATCAAAATGGCATGATCTATTCAGTTAAGCTTGGCAAAACGCTGCTTTTTACTTACCGGTAGGTTTGTTCCTACTTGTATAATGAGTGTGTTGAATAAGGTTCTGGATGTGTGTGGACGGTATGCTAAACATTGTCTTCTCTGTGACAGAGTTATGAGTGCTACTGTGAAGTTCTAAAGTGCGCTGGGCTGAACTGCAGGCCTGAAAATCTGTCTCACTGCCTGCATGTAGATAAACCGTTATTACAACATGCACAATGTGATTGCCGTAAATTTTTTACAGCCACTTTATGTCTCTCAAAAACCGAATACGCAACTCGGCCATTTTTTAAATTACGATAAATTAAGTTAATGATGTAATATTACAAACCCCTCAATAAATATTTGATAGGGGAGCAAAACTCATATGTGTGAATTGTTCACAAATGACTTGGATGCTGAAACATTCCTTTTTTTTCCCTCAAGCAGTCTCAGCTCACTACCCAAGCGCCACTCTTCTCTCGTATCGCGTGAATGTAAACAATAAACCTCTGTGGCTTTGGTGATGGGCGGAGATGCTCTGGAAGTGAAATCCACTTTATGTGATCAGCCATTAAATGAAGTCCGTCCCAAAGTCTCATAGCACCTACTGTACACGAAAGAAGAAAAAACGCTATTTGAAAAGGACGCTTCACACCCTCCGGCTTGTGAATCGTCACTCCGCAAAAGAGGAGTCAGCCATTTTGACTGTCTGCAATAAAGAAGCATACACAGTTCAGAATGTTTGAGGATGAGTGGGAAGAATTGCAAATTAGCTTGACACCATAGTTGACCCCATCAGTTCGTGGAAAGACTTTATAGAGAACATACGGCAAATGTGCGGGAATGCTCGGAGATGTCATGTCTCAACCAAAACACGTGAAATTGAAAACAAATGTTTGTCGATATAGCACACAAATAAAATGTCCAACGGTAATTCAGGCAAAATATGCCTCCACAAAATTTGGTAGTACATGATGTCACTGGAGATGACTCGCAAGATTACCTTTACAAACAGTTATGATCTCAACTTGGATCTTCTTGCAGAAAAATAAACAATATTTGAGGGGCCAATAACATTGGATTTTTATGTATGAAAAGTGCTATAGAAATAACATTTGATAGATGGATCGATTGAACAGTCTGGAGTGAGAGTAGCTCACCTGGCCTGAAGTATCCATGTGCTAATGCAAAAGCCAGTCTATATACTTGTAATTTGCATAAATGCAAAACCACGCTCTGTAGCCGTTATAGTGGGTGCGAGATGTCAGAGGCACAGAGCAGTTGTGCATTCAGTGGATGCAAGGCAGCATTCTGCTTTTCCAAAATATGCATGTTAAATGAAGACTACTAATTGCCTCGAGGTATGAATGTGAGTCAGTCAATATCAATGATTCCCAGCAACTCTGCCGTGGCGCAGCGATGTGACATGAGCATCAAGTCTCGAGAATCAATTGGAAGGTGGACAAACATCCCGACTCCCCCAGAATCGTTTACGTTTCAAAAATCCGCTGACCCGTTTCGATGCCCTGTCTGCCACCGTAATCCAACAAAGAAGTGCGCACATGTGCAGCGATTGAATTTGTGGCTTAACTTTGTTCCAATAAACGAAGCGTTGCCTCAATGAAACACTTCCACAAGATTATATTGTGTAAAGGAGGTTGTACTATGCATTGAAGTTAATGGACTGATGTCTCTGACAAGCTCTGTGGACTCTCCCGCTCTGAGCCTCAGCCCACAAGCACGCGGAATTTAAATCAAGTCATAATCTGGTGAGTTAAAAAACAAAATATGTCTATTGCCAACATCGATGTATCGAACAAATAAACAGTGGAGCTAACTCAAATGCAATTAACCCGCATTAGCATTATTTATTATTTTTTATACCTGCAGTCAGACACCCCTATGTACACAACAGGCATATTGTATATACACACACACACACACACACACACACACGCATTGGGGTGCCAAATTGCTCTGATAAAGAACTTCTCTTCTCCTGCCTTGCCACCCAGTGTCGAACATAAATAATGTAGTACAAAGCAGGCAAACCACATGGGCACTGTCATATGTTCTTTCTATTCGATGGTGTGAGCTGCAAATAAATGGATGGCCGTAGTTAGAATTTTGGACACCCCTGATTGAAACCTGTTTTTTGACTGCCCCCATAAAGAATGGAGAATCGTTTGGAAGCGGAATAGAAACAAGGAACCAGAGTCAAATTCATATTCAAATGATGTTCAACCCTAGCCACGAGAGATCATTAGGTGTTCTTCGAGAAATGATCCAACGAGCAGTCAATACATCCCAAGCCTTACACTGACAGCAGGCATGTCCAGCTCCGGGCCTGGAGGGCCACTTTCCTGTCTGTTTTCCAGCTCTCCCGACTGCAACACACCTGATTCAGATGATCAGCTTATCAGCCAGCTCTGAAGCAGCATTAGAACGATCCTGATGATTTGATTCAGGTACGTTGCTCCTCGGAGAGCTGGAAAACAGGCCGGACAGCTTGAGGACCGACTTTGGACACCCCTGACTTACAGCATGCTGGTCTTTTGGTGTCTTCTGAGAGCTAAAGAAGAAGTCAGCAGGTTCTAGAGCATTTTCTATTCAGGAGTTCCCTTCCCACGGAAATTAGAACACTTCCCTCTGTAGAAATGTTTGAATCTTGAGCCTGACAAGAATTATTTCGACATGCACTTGGTCAAACCACAGCTTGTATGCGGCTAATAATTTTGCTCTGGCTCACGGACTGACATATGGATTTTGGCCTGTTTTATTGCTGCTTCTCCTTCATTTTTGTTAGGTGGTGTGCCATGAGTTTTATCAAATGTAAAATATGTGCCATGGCTTTATAAAGATTGGGAAACAAACCCCAAAGTGACTATACACTTCCTTTTGTCATGATGCGTGGTGGTGGAGGACCCCAAAAAGCACGGAGGAAGGAGGAGCAGGATGAACTAGACAATTTGTATTAACGAAATACTGAGGAAACTAAATCCAAAACAAACAAAGTCAAGAAAACAAAAATAATCTAAAATAACAAACAAAAACCATGGCTGAAGCAAAAAACTAACAATAACAGAAACAGCAACAGAAACCATGACAGAGACAAACAATGACCCGACACCGAGTGGTCGTGCCGGGAGTCCTTTTAAACAGACACTAATGACACAATGACCAACAGGTGTGCAGCTGCAGGCGGA